AATAAGATCTTTATGTTATAGGTTTTCAAGTAGAGGTTTAACGTGTGTTTTTATATGATTCCATCTTTTTCTGCATCATATAATACAATTTTGATCTATTAGATATGCTTGCCAATACATCTTACTCTGTAGTTTGGTGATTCCCAGCCTAAGGCTCCCAGATTTGACTATTAGGACAGAACCCCTATGAACTAGTAGTTAGCAGGAAAAGACGATATAGTTTGCATTTTTTTTTAACCATGGAAAATAACATTTTATGTGTACTAATTCACAGGAAGTCTCTTTGCACTTTTTTTTACTGTGGAAAATAACAATTTATATATGCCAGGGGAACTTTCTTATAACAGGAACTGACATATTTGCTGACCCTAACTACAAAATTGGACTTGAATCTAATATGCATTCACACAGGATTAAATTCCAATTAATATATTGAAAACATGTATGGCCAGATGTCTGCTACGACCTAGTTAAGAGGCAGATGCCATTGGGCTAAAGATTTTCTTTCACATAAGCTATTTTTATGTTTGCATTTGAAAATGAAATCTTTCAAGATTAATAAAATCTAGTTTCATTAAGGAAGATTCTTTAATGCAGTGGGATTTTTACTTCATATAATTTTAACAGAAATTGTATGCACATTATTGGTCCTTAAAATAACTCAGGCATATTGCTATCATAATACAGATGTGGCAACTATAATATGCCAATGCATTCTGAGTGTCATGCATTTTTTACTTGTAAATGATAAATTAATAAATAAGAAAATTGTGAGAAATAACTGCATACCCATTTTGATTAATTCCTATTTGCATATTAATTTTTAGGTCAGTCTATTAGTATATATCTTCTGTTATGAACAGAGGGGTACTTTTGCTGAGAAATTAGCCTTCCATGGTAGTTCAGTTCATACAAAACTAATTGTTTTGTTATTTGTAAATTTTATTGTCCTTTGCAAAGTGGTGGAGACCTAAGAAGATACTGCAATCTTTTAAATAATTGTAGCTAGGGTACGAAAAGAGATTTTTCTGGCCTGCATTGCCCAGTATAAGTACTTTTAAAGTAATATTTTTCCAACTCTGTACATGGGCATGTTTGCAAGCGAACAAGTGATTTAATAGTGACCATTATAATATTATATATTAACATTATTTCTTTCAGTTCTGTATTGTCTTTTCTTGTGGCAGAATCCATAAATCTAAATAAAGCAGTGTTGCTGTAATTCAGCTTCTCACATCATCCTGTTTTCACAGGTACACATTTGCAAGACAACTGAAGACACTATGAGATTAGCTTGAGATAATTTATGGAAATGTTTTCTAATATAGTATCTGATTCTTTTTTTAAAATGCTTCTTAGAGCACTTGCATTTATTAACTATATTTAATATTAATGATTTTAGAACTACTTCCAATGAAGTTTGAGGATTATTTTATAGTTCTCCCCACCTTTACCTTGTGCATAACTTTATAATGTATAAAACTGAAAAATCTCAGATGTGGCAATATGACCCTAGTAATAAAAATTTTCACAAATCCAACGTGAGATAGTTACAAACAGACATATAATTTTTGAAATAGAATCGTATGGACATTTTCTCAGAAGAGTATTTGCTTTATTACTTTAAAAATTTATATCAGCATTAAATTATGAAATTCTATTGAGATTATTGTGGGGGGGAAATGCAGACCGGGTTATAATACAGGTACTTCAGTTGTAATTATTGAATCTGTAGACTAATTTTATCTAGTAATTCAAAGTTTTAATTCTTTAATTAACTACTTGGACACCTTGTGTTGAAAATGTAGATTTGAATTTTAAATTGGTTTTGTCTCCTGGCAAAACTTTTCCCAAGTTTTCTAAAATGTGTATGTATGTATGTATGCGTGTGTGTGTGTGTGTGTGCGTATACATACATACATACATATACATATATATATATATATATGAAAAAAAGGCTTGACTTTTCAAATGCTTTTTTTCAAATGCTTTTTTTTCTCTCGATTGTGTTAACTCTCTAAAATGAGAAACCATTTTTGTTTATTTGCAACCATTCCAACTGAATCTTACGTGCCCTTGAGAGTTTTTCCTCTGATTTCTGTTTGTTCCTAGACATACTAACTCCATTGTTCCTTTATTTGCTTTCAGACTCTGCTTTCTTCCCTGGTCGATGTGCTGAGATCTTTGCCAAAGGACAGAGCATTGGTAACTTGGGAGTTCTTCATCCTGATGTTGTCACCAAATTTGAGCTCACCATGCCCTGTTCTGCCCTAGAAATCACAATTGAGCCTTTCCAGTAAGAAGAACATCATCCTTTGGCCCAACTTCATTCTCCATTTTATTTTGTACGTCAAAGTATTAGACCAATGTTACAGTAGGCTTTATTGGGATTTAATATCTTATTACTGTAATAAGAAAAGTTTTTTTAACCAGTTAAAGGCTCTTTTTAACAGTTAAGGACATCAATCTTTTAAAAAAACAAGGCAAAGTTCAGTCAAGTATCATAAATATGTATTGGCTAAATATTTTTTTGTTTCCTCAAATAGTTTAGTGATTGAAATATAGACTGTTAACTTATTACAGCTGCTCCAAATAGAGTGCTAATTTATAAAAACATATATGAACTAAATTGAGAGGTTAAATTTGTCCTGATAATAAACATACATGTTTCTTGTAAGCTAAAACAAACTTGTTTTTCCACCCATGGTAGCTACACCATAATTTTTTATTCTATTATGAAGGGGGTCAAAATACACTTATTTGCCTACTCACTCACCCTTAGTTGTAGTAGAAACAATTGTAAGCAGGTGTGTTTTAGAGTAAATTATCCATTGACTCTCTTTCCTATACTAGAAATAGAATAGGGAAGCTTTTTCATTTGTATGTAGTTGCAAATGCCTAAATATCTTTTTGTCTCTTAGACATGATGTTTTCTTGCAAATTTTCCTATTGAGTAAATAAGTCTTCTGATGGGGAAAAAAAATCCCCAACTAATGATCTTAGGTGATCTCCATTTTGGTTTAGTTGTGGTAGTGATGAGATTACAGGGAATTGAACCAAAATTTTGGACACTAGTGATATATGCTGAAAATCTCAATTGTTAAGTAAATTCCCAATAAATACCTTTAACACATAGACCACTAGGATGGAGTGATCAAATTAATGGAGGAAAGGCTATAGAATGTCTGTTTTAAATGTTAATCATGAGCCCATTACCTAGTGTCCATATCTAGTTCTGTATGTTTGCAGTCTTATTTAACATTTTAATTCAGATTCTACATGAACTAAAAGTGTAACCAGAAAATACTGTATATTTGTTAGCGCTTCCTTGCTAAGAGCATTTGACATTTATACTTTGAAATAATATAGAAATATATAAAAAAATAGAAACACATAATTTGAATAGTAATTTATGGTATTACAGTAAAATGATACAAAAATAGAAATTGTATACTTTATAAATAAGAACATATACATGCAGTCTTGTTGAACAGCATAGACCAGGTGTTCATAAAAATAGTTATGTAAACAAACCCAAAACTGTTGGGAAGACAACATACATTCAAAAATCTATTTTAAATAGAATTGTCCTACAATTATTTATATATATATATGACACACAGTATATATGTCATTACAGTAAAACCATGATTTAGCATATCCTTTAGATGTCTGTTAAATTCCAATTTATATAGTTTACCTCATTTATGTAATTATATCACATTAATGATGTAAGTGAATAGAGGTGAAGGCCAAACAAAAACATTTTATATATAAAATCTGTTGAATTAAAATCTATGATATGGAGGTTTTACTATTTTCTGCTCCCGCTATAATGTGAATACAAAGAATAATTGACTAGTAGCACTAATGAACTATTCTAGTCTCCATACGTTCTTTTGTATAACCAATCACCTCATCCATCCATGCTCATCTCTAATGTTTAGAATGTGAATGAGGAAGAAAAAGACTTAGAAGCAACTTAGCACTTTTCTCTTGTATTAGCATTAGAATACAAAATGCTGCTTCCTTTATGCTGTCAGTGCTAAATTCCTGAGAAACGTCTGCAGTATTTTGATATAAGAATATTATGTCTTCATACAATCAATATCTTTCAGACCCCTTCTTATTCAAAATACAAAACAAAGAAAAATGAAAATTCAGACCTGTATTCTTATGATATATAAGATAAAGATTAGGTTGGAGTGTCATTTAAACCCAAAGGAATAGTGCAGCATCTCCATTCCGAGGAAGATCATAGAATGCATTTATTCTGAGTCACATATGTTTACAAATAGAATTAAATGTCATTCCTGATTATTTTAGTTTTTTGGTCTGTGACCATCTCTCTCACGCTGAATACTAGAACTAACTAAATACTATCTTTAGTCTCCAGTATTAGCAATCCTAAAGAGTTTATGCAAAAGGCACGTACCATTCTCTCATCACCTCAGCCCCCCAACTACTGCAAATCATTTTAATCTTCAGTTCATAATCTGGACAATAAAAAAACCTGAACACATAGTACCATATTTTTCATAGTATAAGTCGCACCGGAGTACAAGATGCAGCAAGGTTTTGAAGAGGAAATTTTTTTAAAAAAGTTTTTATATTCTGCAAATCTTCCCAAAACGGCCCGTTTTTTGTGAAAACAGGCCTGGTTTTTTCAAAAAAAGGGGGGGGCTGGATAGCCCTTAGGAGGCTTGTAGAGTGTTCCTGGGGGGGGGGAATAACCAAAAAACAGCCCATTTTTGCAAACAACCGGCCCGTTTTTTGTTAAAAGGGGGGGCATGAATAGCCTTTAGGAAGCTTATAGAGTGCTGCTGGGGGCAGGGAGGGCAAAAAATGTGTTGTTTTTTGCTCATTTCTGCCCTCTCCAGCCCCCAGGAGCTCTCTGAAAACCTTCTAAAAGCTATGCCCGGCTATTTTGGTGAAGGGGTGGAGTTTCAGGAGGTAAAAAATGCTATATTCAGTGTATAAGATGCACTCAGATTTCAGCCTCTTTTTGAGGGAAAAGGGTGTGTCTTATATTCTGAAAAATACGGTATTTAATTTAAACCAAAAAATGTATATATTAGTGGCACAAACATTGTAGCACTTAGACCAATAGAAGAATAGGTGATAAATTTATAGGGCACTTCAATTTTTATTTGCTGCATAGCTACAACATCACTGTTAGAAACCTTGTGCCAAGAACATAATGATTTACGAACAATAGTTTTGGCAATCTGCCGTGTCATCATTAAAACACCAATCCCCACTACAACTTTTGCAAGCACTAACAAGATAATTTCACTAGTGATGGAAGAAACACTGTAAGTGACATCTTTAGATGCAGCATTTGAATCATAGTGATTATTTGCCCAAAACCCGATAATGGCTCCTGCAGAAGCTCCTAGAATAGTGGTAGTATCTGCTCTAGTTGGACTGTAATAATCTAGTTTAGGATAATTGTAGCACAAGAAGAGGGGCACAATGATGCAGAATGCTGGACAGAAAGGGCTGGTGAGCATCAAGTGATCCACAGTATCCCAGGTAGGACAGGCAATAGCAGTCAAAAATAAGGAAATTAGACTGCCGACAATGACGTCCTGGAAAAACACATAAATACATTAATGACACAAGTTGCCATTTGTCTCAGAATGCAATCCCTAGCTTGAATTGAAAAACAGGTTTAGAACATTACAGGTCTAGTAGACGTAAGAAATACCTTAAGAATAAATGTCAAAGAGTAACATAACTAAAATGCAAAAGCTTGGTATGATGTATGTCCTTCAACTCCTAATATTTCACTGGAGCAAAATATAACTGAGGAATCTTCATCACTTTTATACTCTTCATGGGGGTGGGGGACAGGAGAGGATTACTGCAAGAGCAGTAAAGATGTTACATTTGCAGAATTAAGGTAAGATTGATAGGCAGAGTATGTATTTATATATCACTGTACGCAAACCCATAATTTAGATTTGGAACTTCTTGCTGAAAGGCAATGAAGTAATGCTTCTTAAATTAAGATTTCTGACAGTTGTTTTTTTCTTTCTAGTCACTAGCCTTTCCCTCCCATAGTCTCTAATAACTTCCTGGATGATTGAGAATCTCCATAGGCACTTAATTTATAAATTTGTAATTTTTCTGCAAAGAATTAATGTTCCTTCCTTAGTTTACTTTTTTTAGGGCCAAACAATTTATTTGACCCCACTCCCTGGTGTCTGTTATTTTATTTAATGAAACCTGAATTATTAGTGACTATCAATTATCTTTTTTTTTTTTGGTCTATTTTTCATATTTTTGAACTAGTCATTTCTCTCAAAGAGGGACTCTGGAGAGTGTTCAGAGAAGAACACTGGATGATCAAAGTTACTTGAATGACTACATTTATTAAGAAAAACAAAAGACCAGTTTTTGAATGCTTCATTACTGCTTCTATAATCTACGCTAAAGAACTTTAAAATATCAGTAATGCTACTACATATCTCAAATTAATTCCATTCCACACAAGAGAAACAATACCATCACAGTTTTTTAAACAAAAGTTTTATCTTATCTCTCTCATACAGACATTCACGCATATGCACGGTCATTACACAAATTATATTCTACACATATTTCCCTAGTCTGCTATCCTTCAGGGATATTGAATTACAGCTCCTATTGCTAGCAGGGATGGTGTAGTCCAAATCTTTGAACAGCATCATTCTGGGGGTGTTAGTAGAATTTTCTCCACAGAAAATCCCATGATTCTATATATTCCTTTAAATTATGATTCATTTTAGATACTAAATCCTTAATTTGGAGCTCGCTGCTCCTGTATCCTGGAAGAAACTGAAGTGGTTCATCATAATCTTCCTGCATTAAATGCCAAGGGTTATATTAGTTCAGATATTATGGTGCTCCTTATGGTTTTATGAAGGCCTAGAGGCACTGGTATTTTGTTTTCATCTTCCACTATTACAATAGAATATACAGCAAGTATACAATGTAGACAACTGATTGTAATTAGATATACTATAGTATAGCTAGGTTTAATCCTGTGTATCTGTATGTATGTACAGCTGTGTGAAAAAGTCCTGCACACTTTGTTTTAAGCTGTGTTTACATGTTTTATCAACTTTTCACTCATAGAAACCATGCAAAATTAGTACTTTGATGAAAATTTCTGTAGTCGGATTGAGATGCATAATTTTTATTAATATAGCCAAAGTCTTTTTAAGGTTTTGAGTGAGTTTATGTGCTAAAACAAACACAACTTGAATTTTCAAGAATGTTAGGATCGAAAGTAGCCAATCAGCAGTGAGCTTTGGCTGACCAATCAAAATGCACAGAGGCTAAATCTATGAGCCAATCAATGTTATCATACTCTCTGACTATAAATAGGCATGAAAAGCATTGAAAAATTTAATTTAGCTCTGGCTGCAGGCAAGGATAAAGGCCTTTGCTTTCACCAGTACTAAGCAACAGCATCACATCATTGTGCTTTATGAAGAGGGTTACTCCTGTACAGAAATAGCCAAAATAGTGAAATGTCATTGCACCATAGGAAGCAGAGTGGTTGAAAAATACCAAATAACTGGTTCAGTTGATGACAGCTCTGCTCTAGAAGACCAAGAAAGTCGACAAAACAGCAAGATTGGGCTCTGCAGCGCATTTTGATGGCTGACAGGAAGCTCACCTCACCTCAGATTAAAAGAATTTGGGGTGAAACATGTGATGTAAAAGTGTGCACAAGCACAGTTCATTACAGACTGCCAGAGGGCTCAAAGGCTGCAGGGCTCGAAGTAAACCTTTGCTCACAGACGCTCATCACTCTCGTCAACGTGCTTGGACCAAAAAGTATGCCAAGTGGACCAACAAACAGTGGGCCAAGGTCATCTTCTGTGATGAGAACAATTTCTACTTGATTGGGAATCAGTGCAATAAGCATGTCAGAAGATTTCCAGCTGAAGAATTTACGCCGTACTTCCTGAATCTATCTGTGAAGCACCCATTGCATATAATGATCTGGGTCTGTATCACTGCTTCTGGTATTGGTTGGACACAAATCGTGCAGGGAATCATGAATTCTAAGCAGTATGTTGAAGTCCTAGAAAAGACCATGCTTCCTTCAGCTCAGCAACTTGTAGGGAAGGACTTTCACTTCCAGGATGACAACGCTCCTTGTCATCAAGTCAAGCCCATCCAGCAGTGGATGAAGAAGCATGGTGCTCGACTCCTGGATTGGCCAGCTCAGAGCCCGGATTTGAACCCAATTGAGAACTTGTGGGCCAAAATTGATTACGAAATAAGCAAGAAGCATCCGAAGACCAAGCAGGAACTGATTGAATCTATTATTGCAGCCTGGCACCACATTGTCACCAAAGATCACGTGCAAAGGATTATACAGTCTATGCCAAAGTGATGCCGCCTAAGCAATAAGGGCTGGCCAATTTCATATTAGTAACCATGTTTGGTTACCTAAACTGGTTACCACAAACAATAAAAATGTTAACAAAACACTAGCATCGGCCTTAGTGCAACACGTATGCCACTGGGTATGCATCAGTTAATCTGTTTTCATAGTTGTAAGCATGCATTATAAGCATGCAAGAAAGTTCACAATCCCCATCCAAATAGGACCAAATTGCAAAAAGCTTATGCTTTTCACTTAAAAACCACCAGTATACATTTAAATATAACAATATTTGCAAAGCAATTAGCATAAAATATCATAAAATCAATGGCCTATCCAAAAAATGTTATAAACTAAACCATAAACCGTAAAGCATGCAGGACTTTTTCACACAGCTGTACATAAGTTATTACTATTGGATTTAATAGATTTCTTCAAAGAATTGCTTTTGGAACTATTCCCATAAGGGATTATGTCAGAAATGGAAACAATATGAGATTTACAAGAAGAGGTTGGAGACGAGCTAGCAAGAATCTAATAACCTGATCTTTCTTGGAAAGTGCCATATAATTTAGCTGTAATAAACAAAGGATGTGTGAAGCAAAAAGTGTAGTCTTCAAGCAAAAGGATATAATATTTCTGGGGATTAAAGGTTCATTGGCACCAGGATTTGTGAACAAAAGTATGCAATATTTGTAATCTATGTGCATAAAAATGACATTAAAAAAGAAACAGCCAATGTCAAACATCAATACATTTTTCCTGCTATGTAAAGTAGCATCATCTTATATTATCCTTTTAAATGTTTAGCTTTGGGGAGAACAATGTATTAGATGAAGTCTAAGCATAAGAAATACTTCCATATATAGGCATATCAATCTAGCCAACAATCCCTTCCATCACTTTCTCCAGATTTGCCCCAAGCATATGATAAAAATTGGCCTAAAAGCTTCAACATAATATTTTAGTCACTCTGTCTTCCTCCACTTTTCAGTCTGAATTGTGTGTGTGTGTAATGAAAACATCTTTGGAGGTGTGTTGCCAAGAGATTATTTGTGTTGTAGCACGCACACTTACCTTAACTCGAGTTTCAAACACAAAGTCTGTTTGTCCTGCTCTACCCAGTGTGAAGAGGAAACATGCCAGCAGTTTGGGGAGTGGCATCAAGATGGCCATGCCCACCCAGTCGGCCACGCCCACTCGGACACACAACCCAGGTCAACTACAGCATTGATGCGGCCATCAATGGAATTGAGTTTGACATCCCTGCCTTAACTGATCTTTAAAACAAACTAAGCTGAATTGAACTGGGTTACTACTTGAATGGTAGTTCAAGAGGAAATCCCAGTTGTACTGTTAGACTAGGAAATTGAAAAATAACCTACAAAAAAGTGATAGAAAGTCATTTACATACTGATGCTAGGAAAACCTCATGAATATGTTTGTGTAAAAATCAGGAGTCATTTAGGAGAACTTACTCTATTTATGTGCGTAAACCAGAGGTGGTATTCTGTTGGTTTGCACCGGTTCGGGCAAACCGGTAGTGGCGGCGATGTGAGACTCTCTGTTCTAAACTAAATGTCTTGATCTAGTAAGGGTTTCCATCAAAATTCATAGTGATGAATACAAATGTAGCCATTAGCAGCTATGATTATTTAAGATGCTTATATGAGTAAGCTGAAATTATCATTAAAATGTCTTATTTGATCTTCCCATCCCGTAAATAACATTAAGTCTAACTTTCAGTAAATGCACTCAATGATAGCTGCACTATGTAGCAAACAAGCTGTTTTAAAATAATGGAGTTTTACTTCATACTTTCTTCCAGTTTGATTAGATCACACATCAAGAAAAATAAAAGTGTAAATGGCAGTGTTAGATTACCTAAAGCATGGATGTCAAACTGACATCATCATAGTGTCATCACGTGATGTATTGTGACCCCCCCCCCTTTGCTAAACTGGGCATGGATGTGGCCACTGTGTGATGCATCTGGCCCGTTTGACAGCTCTGACCTAAAGGTACCATATATAAAGATATATCTCCTCAGTGAACAGTCTTGAATTATGAAGAAACAATTTTTTTATTATTTAGGTTCAGATTCTACCGATTCTTTGAGCTTTTATTAGAAACAAAATTAACTTAATGCTTTGTATTTAACTTAGCTGTTATATTGCTATATCCTATCTTTTCTTCAGCTCAAGGCAGAATACATAGCCCTTCCTATTCTTAATGTCTCCCCCAACCCTTCAGAGTGGTATGATGGATTGAGAGGGAGTTCCTGGTCCAGAATTATCTAATGATCATTCCTGGCTAAGAGGTGATGAGCCTAGATTGCACCAGTTATAAGGCAACATCTTTACAATGTAGAAAAGATGTGGAGACTCTAGAAAGAGTGCAGAGAAGAGCAACAAAGATGATTAGGGGACTAGAGACAAACATATGAAGAACAGTTGCAGGAACGGGGTATCTAGTTTAATGAAAATAAGGACTAGGGGAAACATGATAGCAGTGTTCCAATATCTCAGGGGTTGCCACAAAGAAGAGGGAGTCAAACTATTCTCCAAGGCACCTGAGAAGCAACTTATAACTGAGGAGAAATTTCCTGACAGTTAGAACAATTAATCAGTGGAACAGCTTGCCTCCAGAAGTTGTGAATGCCCCAAACTGGAAATCTTTAAGAAGATGTTGGATAGCCATTTGTCTGAAATGGTATAGGGTTTCCTGCCTAGGCAGGGGGTTGGACTAGAAGACCTCCAAGGTCCCTTCCCACTCTGCTATTGTATTGTATTGACCATGATGCCATATTCGCTGGCTGGCTGCTTCTACAATACAGAACAAAAAATGACATTTCTTGAAATACAAATTGTAATGATATTATCCTACCTGTAAAATAATCAACACCTACCACATTTCCTACCACATAAATTTTAGAAGAGAAATAGATTTATTAATTTTCAGAATAATTATTCATTAAAGCAACAGTCATTTTCAGTATATTTCACTCTTGCACCCGTGAAGACCATCTGGCTGGCACAGACTGGAAACCAGAAGAACAGCTGGCAACAGTGCAGTTGCCCACAGGGAAGGCTCTGCATGCCACCTCTGGCACGTGTGCCATAGGTTCACCATCACAGCTGTATCAGAAGAATTATGTGGTCTCCAGAGAAATTTCCATGCAGTGGTTTGCTTGGTGGTCTGACTACAAAACAATCCTTGCAAAATTGCTTAGAGGAGCTTTCTCCAGATGTCAAACTGATGGTGGGAGCTGTAGCATAACAAGCTGGGAATTTTGGCTTATTGCTCCTTTAAAAAACAGAACAGCAAATCATTGTTCTTGATTTTCAAATCCCGATTTATAAAAACATCAAGCCAGAATTCCGTGGGCTTGTTTAAGTTGAAAGCTTAAGAGAGGCAGAAGAGGAAAATCACAAAAAATAAGTTGCTTCTGAAAATTTAATTACATATTCTTTTCAAGGAGGAAAATCTATATCTTAGAAAGTATTTTTATTAATCATTTATTATATCATATCATAAGGAGTAACATTTGATGCAAACTCTAATAATTCCTAAATGATGACATACACATAGCAATGTCATTAAATAACTGCACCATTATGGACGCATCAAAATTCTGTAATTTAATTAATGATGGCACCATAAGCATTTCATGATTTGTTTTCCTTGCATCTCATCGTCCCAGCAGTTACCCTCAGTAAAAACTTACGAGCACTGTGTGCATTCCTGTGTAAATTCTGCTGAGGCCTACCAGAGATGAAAATAAGAAGGCTCCCAACAGTCCAAGTTCAAGTGGATACTAAAAATATAAAGGGAAAGAATGTTAATAAAATCTTTATTCATCACTTAACCGAAAACAATCCATCCACAATTTAGTTTGAGGATACCATACATAAATCTAAAGAATTAGAATCTCCCTTTCCTAAATCGAAGATGAAACAATTCAGACAATGAGAAGGGAAGTTATGACTTCCCAAGAGCCTTACTTGGATGAGTTCCCTGAAGATCATAGATGGTGAATTTTTTTGTAGATAACATCAAGTGATTCCATTCTTTAAAAAAGCCTTCAAAGTGTTCCAAGCTAAATGAAGAACTATGAAGAAGTATCTCCACAATTGAAAGACTAACCAAGTAGGTCCAAAAGTGAATTTGTGTACATCCCCCCCAAAAATCCCACTGGGACAAAAGATCCTAATTTTACAGAAATGTGATTGAGGATGTGAAACAGTCCCATATTCCTAGGAATGACTTTTCTCAGTGAAGTTTGTTAATACTGTCTGATGAAGACCAATACACAAGAAGGAAGAGGATGAAACAGAAATGGACTGTAATGCCACTGAAATACTTGAGACTTAAGATGGAGGGACTGATATTTGACCAAATAAGGCAATGAAACTTGGTCATGCAACTTGACTAGATTAAATCAGAATTGCTGCTTCCTACCTTGTACTGGTTTGCAGTCACAGATACAAAAGTGAAAGAGATGACAGTGGCTGCCATTGCATGTGTGGATGGCATTCCATATTCTGCATTAGTCTTCTTTTCTAGCTTGACAACAGGTGGTGACCGAGGACGAGGCCACTTCAGAAGGTCTTTCATGACTTGACCAATATACATGACTACCTGGGGATAGCAAAGAGACATTTGCCTGCTTGTTTATTTGTGTAGTAAACAAATTTACACGGCTGCCCAATTCATACAACAGTGACTTTGGGTGGCTTACAACATTAAAAACTACAACATAAAAATCATAGCCCCTTCCCTCACAAGATCATTGGATCAGCCACTTGATCAGCTCCATCTCTATTTGGGATCTCCAGGCTTGCTGAATAGCCAAGTCTTTGGTGTTTTTGAAAAAAAGCAACAGGAGAGGGGCAATCATACCTTCATGGGGATTATGCCCCCTAGGAAAGGAGCCACCACCAACAAGACACTTTTCATGCTCCCATCAATAAAGATCCCGAATAGTTGGGACCCACACCACATCCTGAATTCTTGTCCTGGTGAATTGGGTAGATGTAATGGAGGAAAGGTGGTCCTTCAAATAGCCTGGCTCCAAACCATTATTTAAAGTTTAAAATGAGAGATAGAGATTTGCCCAAGGATTTAAGATAAGTAGTTGGGGGAACCTACCCCAACCCGATCAGCTCCAGATGTCATAATTCCTAAACATACAGAGAAAGGTGTACTTGGAATTATATGAATTAAAAGTCTAATTCATCTGTAATTCATTTGCTGGTAAAGACTGACTTATTAAATCTCAGACTAATCAATAATTTTACAAGGCCCAGAGTAGAAAGCCTGAGGTCAGGTAGAAAGTCTTTTCCCTGTGGCCCTAAAACAGAAGAACCAAACTGTTCTATGCACCATCAAAGACCCTTCTAGGAGTAATAAGATTGTAATCTAAAAACACAAAATATCAATAATGGCAGGAACATTAAGCAGTGACATTATACATTTAAAAATAACAAAGCAAGTCAATGTAATGCTAAAGCAGTGCATCATAAATGTAGGAGGTAAAATGTTTGAAAGTCACAACAGAGAACACCATAACTTCAAACATTACAAGTTACACCTAAAGAGAAAATGTGTTTCCACTTTTGGGGAATGTAGTTTTCTTAGTGCATCCTTGAGCAAAGGTAACACAAACTACGTTGAGCTGAAATACTAACAATACAGTAATGTTTGTTCACTTCTCCATTTTGCATACTGATTTAATCATATAACAGACTCCGGAGGGATGACAGTATAGAACATAGAAGTATAATAAACATATCAATCAAAGCAGAAAACATTTAAAGCCTAATCTAGAAGCTAAGAGTTTCCACTCCATCATTCCCTAGGAGCTCTCTAGGGGAGTTTTATGCCAACTTGATCTCTGGGATAGGCTAGTCCATGGACACAAACCATCACAGGGAATATTGCTGTATTACTCCCGTCTGCCCCCTCCCCTGGTTTCCCAAAAAGAAAGATTAAAAACTTCTACAGAGAGTAGATTGGACAACTTAATGCCCCATCCTATTGCAAGGTGATGCTTTGTATTCCAGAAAATCTGTATTGATTATAACTTTGTTTCTCTACCAAAGATTGTTGCACATGTATCTCTCTCACTCTCTTTCACCTTTATTTCTTTTTACTTTCTTTCCTTTTATATAAAACTCTTCTGGGTGTTCAACTCTAGTAGAATTTACTTAGTGGTTTTAAAATGGTACGAGAAAATAAATAAAGTAGAATGCACTTGTGAAGAAAGTAGATATAGTTTGGACTGTAGGTATGTCCACTCTTTTCGTTGATGTAAGCAAGTTTCCCCTTTGCCCTGCAGCATTTAGTGAAAAAGAGGTATTACCGCAATTAAATGTTATCCTATTTCCAGCTTTAATATCAATATTTTTTCTGTTCCTTTGGTATACCTTCCTTCATGAAATGAAGTTCACAAGTTAAATACAATTCCTTTTTAAGTTCAAAGAAAAACTAAAGTACATGAGTGACCTGGAGGCATCAAGAACACCATGTCATCAAGCCTGATTGTCAGCAATAACTTCAAAATTCTACCACTCCTAATCCCATGAGGAAAAAAAAAAATAAAACTGTTTCAGATGCCTTGAAAATGTAAGACGGGAGATTTATGGATTGTAATTTTCATCTTCAATATCTGCATAAATCACTTGCTTCAGGTGTGTTACAATTCTTTTCATGACCATGGAACATATAAAACGACAGATAAGTATTTAGGTCTCAAGATCATGGCTCTTTTTTATCAACAGTATACATCTGGAGATTTGGGGGGAAATGGCTTTTAAAAAAATGCTTATCATTTTTATACGTTTACAAATGACTTTCATGGAACAGAAATGACTATTTCTGTCAAAATAGGCATTTGCAAATAAGCCATTGAAAATCAAAATGAAACTGAAAGGCTAAGAAGCAGAGAAACAGCTAATGCCATATGTGTAATATAACGGTGACTTCGAAATGCATTTTCATTCTATATTTGGGATCAATAGCAGACTTCATCAGTTAAACTTTCACCAGACTGAAATTAGCATACAATGAAATATTTTGATTTTTCAAGTCTGCTAGTTCCTAGCCATCTCGTCAAATAAAACATTTAACCATAAAATTAAAAACATTTTCATCACTACATCAATTCCCCTAATGTTGCCTGCTATATGAAGTTTGTTGTCTTACTTTAATGAATGAGACGTTTTTGCTGATTTGATGTTGGGGTAGGAGATTCAAATGAACATCTTGTATATTTCAGACAGATATGGGAATTTTAGAAAGCTACATGGGCCCTGTTGCCAATATATTGGCATGTTCAGTAGATGGGTGAAATATTCTTCCAGCAAAGCTGAAATGATCCTGGAAAAATCAGCATCTTGAATACTAGATGTTCTGCAGGTTATAGCAGACTGCTGAATCTGCAGGGCAGGAGGCTTAAATATTTCATCCCAGAAGGTCTGACCTTATTTTCTGCTTTGGCAAAACAGCTTCTTACTAGGTTAGTAGTTCTGACTGCAACCACTTATTTTCCAGGCACCACCTGGAATCCACCCAAGCATGGCATATGAGACACAGGATTTCACAACTTGTGCTGCTTTCTGGCAATCAAAATGTAAAATATAAGAGTTCAAATAATTTCTGTATTACTAACAAAGGGCAGAATAATATGGTGGCTGCAGGATTTGGCTGTAATTTGGGAGATAACACTAATTGTACAAGAGGTAAATAACATAAACTATTTAAATATTATTGGTAAACTCAGATCAGTCCATAATCAAATCAAATCAAATTATACAGCAATCGACAAATGAACTTTTGTGTGTTGCTATAGAGAGCCTTAGAGATAAGCTTGAAGAACAGCCAAGCTCAAACAGCACCGAAGACCCCACAATTCAACCCTGATGTTTTAAGCTCGGAAAGTATTAAAAAATGAAACAAAACCAACTGGCTCCACTCTAACTTGCTAGAGTATAAGAGAGTGAAGAGGAAAGTAAAATGACTATCAGGCTTTCAAGATTCTATTAATGTAGCTTATATCAGTAAAATGTAATTCCAGTCAAACTTACAGAGCCTGACTTCATTACAATTGAAATCATGTTTCTCTGCTAGTCAAAATCTCTAAACTACATGCTAATCAATAGGGCATCAACATTGCTAATGTACAGAAGAACACTGAAAGCTGGCATGCAGTTGAAATTTTAAGTGGGTTTGATAGCAAAGAATTTCATAATTCAGAAAAATTAGGACTTTCAAAAATGATAAATCGGATAAATGGACTAGGTCGGAAGTCTCCTTAAATCAGTGTAGCATCAGTCTGATTTTTCCAATCATACCTGGAAAATATTGTGACTCGATATATAATGATGAGAACATCCATACAACTTCCTCAGATGACACTAATAGCAGTAGCATATGTTTTCTCAAAACAGAATGACGTAGGTACAGAGGTAGAAGTCAGTGGGGGGGAATGCTCTCCTAGAAACTCTCCTGCTTTTATTTTTTTTAGAGTAGAGGATAGATGGTGAAAAGAAGCATATAGGGTGCCCGAGTCTTGTAGATTCCCAAAGGAGTAGATGGATTAGTTTTATGATGCCGCATAAAAACAAAGACACCTTGTACCTAGAAGATGAGCATATTTCTTGTAGCAGATGTGTTAAGGGGTATCTCCCGTTGGGAGACAGAAAGTAGTGCAGCGAACTGTACAGTCGGAGAGAAGGAACGTTGCTAGTAGAAGAAACACACAAATAGAGTCTCAGACACTGCTAGTAAAAACAAGTAGCTTTACTACTACTAATAGCTCCACAAGCAGTGATAGTAGATATGTGTCCAAACACAATTCAAAGAATAAACAATTGCTTACAGTCGCAGTTCACGTTCCAGTCATCAAGCAAGCAAGTAGTTATCAAGCATAGGACAAGCAGAGAAAGTGAGTGAGCTTTCCTGACTCCCTCTTATTATAACATTAATTACAGCTGATTGTAAAGTTAATTACAGCTGATAAGTACAGTCACCCATTTAAAGCAACAATGACCATTTGTTATTGTATATGAATCTATATTGCCTACTCAACACTAGGAGTATACTCCCAACAAGATGTATGAATGTATTCCCACATGAATGAATCTACTTGAATCAATGAAGTAAGTCAAGTCAAGAAATACTTATGCCAAAATAAATTGGCCTTAAGGTGCTATAAAACATTAGTGTTTGTTGCTTAATATAGTGCACATTGCATGTATGCTCCAGCCTTATAAATATCTATATCCAGATCAAAAAAAGAAAAGAAAAAGGAATAGCAAATGCTGTAACACCAGACCAATCAACCTGGGAAAACACATTTCCTTAAATATTGGTTGATAATATTTTCAGCAACCAGAGGCTACAAGAAGTAGGGTAGTGATGTAGCAATATCATGAAATTTGGATAGAAGTTACCGTTGAAATATCAAACCTAACTGAAGATTAGCTTATTGTGCTTCCTGCCTAGCTTTGAATCTATTGCTTATAATTTATAATTTCTTGTGGCGTGATTATGAATGTAAAAAAGGGGTTTCAGGTTGTTTATAAACTATAGTCCTCCCACCTCTGCTCTGATGCAAGGCAGAGTAAAATACTTGTGCA